TAGCTGCCAATGTGGTTAAGCTTGGACTTACTGAATAATGCAAACGATAAGTAATTGTAATTTCTTTGTTTTCTTAGCATTATGTGATTTTCTTATCGCGACGTGTTATTTGTAATATTTATTTTTTGGTTTCATGTTTGTATCGCGCCAGGTGATCTATTTGTTTTATTTCAGATATTTTCTTGGTATAATCTATCTTTATTAGTAAAATGATTTTCCGGGAATTTTGCTTATGTTTCCCTGTAAATCAGAAGCGCTGTGTGAGCCACTTGCGTCATTGATGCATGACGAAACTATTTCGTCAGACTACTTAGAATTGACGCAATGACGCATAACGCAACTCATGATGCATATCGCGACACATGACACAACTCATGAAAATGACGCAACTTATGACTAAATGATAAATTTGGTATATGAGTGTGTTTAAGTTAAACCTGTCATTGAGTTTCCAAATATATTTTGTACTCTGTGAAGGGGAAACGTAACCCAGTCGCAGCAAAAAATGTTATCCAAGCATATGACTTGGGGCATTGATCAACAATAGCGAAGGAATTTAATAAATGCCAATTTGGGTTTGGCTTGAGGCAATGCTCCATTGAAGAACAATAGTACGATGCCTCAGATATTCAATGGTGGGTACTAAAGTCATAGTCATAAAATGAGTATGAATTACTCATCACTATATATTCCTGATACTTTAAATAGTCATATCAGTTAGAGATTCTAATAGTTGCAGCAAATTCTCAAGGATTTTTATTAGCCATAATAGTTTTATTTGGCTGATTCTTTAAAATCATTTTAACTAATTCATATGATGTATTGTGCAAACCTTATTTTTCATAATATTACTTGAGCTTCCTACTATTGAAGCCGAAGCATGTATCTAGTAATGAAAATAAGCTATTTAAAATACATGTAGATTTAATTATATGTACAATAATAAGACTTTATTATTGTTCTAGTTTTATTTATGATATTACAGTATCAAATAAATAAGTTTTAAACTAATTTATTTGAACATATTATTGTTATCGGCAAAATCAATGATTTCATAATGTTATGAGGAATGGGAAACATGCCCATCAGAAATCATAAAAGTACCAAAAAAAAAACAAAAAAAAACTCTTATCTTCTGATTGTAGAATCCTTGAACTCAAATAAGCCCCAGGGCAATGCAGAGCCAAGCCCGTAGAAAGCCTTCACTTAATAAAAGAATAGGGTGAAATTATAAAGAAATCATACAGATATCATGGTAATATTAAGATAGCCCAGGACCATGGTATAATGGATCCCTAGTCGAGGCATAGAGAGAGAACCATGGGATATGCGTCTAATAAAAACACTGCCCAAGCAATGCCCAAAAAGGCTAAATGAGGCAGTGATGTTGCTGAGTATAAATAAATAAAATAGATACAAATCAGATAAATTGTGTAGCCATGCTATTCAGTTGTTGTCACACGTGCAAGGGATGTTGATAATTGAGTAATGGCATAATAGACAAAAGAGAAGATTGAAATTTCTTTCTTTCTTTGTTATTATTATTTTTTTTGTATAAATAAGATTGTAGGTTGCCTTCTTTAAAAGAGCAGAACAATTCAAGTTTTAGTAAAATAATTTGAAATTTGTTCTATGAAAAGTTGATATTTCCTCTTTGTTCTTAAGTTATTCATTTTTATACTTCATACTTATTACAAACCAATATCCACCACCTTGTCTTGCTAAATCTATTTTGCCTCATCTTATTGATTTTTGATAGTTTGTGTATATTCTTGAACATATATTATTCTTAGTTTTTACTGGTAATAATATATATATTTTATATATATATAAATTTTTTTTTATACAATAAAATTATATATTTATCTTTACACATATATGAATTTTTTTTTTAGACAAAAAAAAATGTCTCAGTTAAATGAATTAAGTATATTGAATGAAATAAGTCCTGAAAATTCTGGAGGTTTTGAAGATCCTGAAGGTTCCAAAGATTCTGAAAATCTTGAAGATTCTGGAAATTTTGAAGCTGAAATTTTTAGAGTTTATGGAGGAGGACGTACTTTAAGACCTGTTTGGGATTTTTTTGAATGCAAGAAAACTAATTCACGTAGGCATTTTTCAGCAAAATGTAACTTTTGCTCTGCTAATTGGTCAAGAGAAGAACCATCAAAACTTGAAGCCATCTTGCATTGGAGTGTCCTTATGTAGATGAACATGTTTGACAAACATATTTACTTCGTGTAGCTCATCGTAATAAGGCTGATGAAGTAGAATCTGATATTCTAAAAAAAATAACAAACCGCCAATCTACTATGTCGAGTTTTTTTCTACAAAAAGAAGATAGTGGCTTATCTGATAGACAGATAAATTTAATAAATAATGCATTAATAAAAGCCTTTGTAGTTTGTGGTATTCCATTCTCTGTAATTGAGAATCCTTTTTTTATTGACTTCCTTCAAAGTTTGTGTCCAAGTTATCAACCACCATCAAGAAAAGTATTAGCAAATAAATTGTTAAACCAAGAGCATTCTAAAATTATAATAAAATGGTAAGTTGTTTTTAAAGAATCAAGTAATTTAACAATAGATAAATATATTTAAGAACAATAGTTATTTTTTGTAATATATTATATATTAAATTATTATTATTTATAGCACTAGATGGATGGACATCATCTAATAAAAATTCTATTTATTGTTTTATGATTTTAACACCTATGCATACTAAATTTTTATATTCATTATGTGATTATTCTTTAAGTTCACATACTTCTGATTTTCTTGTAGACAAAATTGAGTATGTTATAAATGAAATTGGAAATGACAAATTTGCAGCAATTGTCTTTGATAATGCTAGTAATATAAAGCTTGCTTGACAAATAATTTATGAAAAATACCCAAATATCTTAAATTTTAATTGTATTGTACATTGTGCTAATCTTATATCAAAAGATATTCTTAGTAAGTATTAAAAGTATTTTGAATATTTAATTCTTTTATATTAATATAAATTTTATTCTAGAGTTTATATTTAGTTCATGTCTTATAAAAGATTGTAATGAAATTATAAAATATTTTAAAAAATCACATCAGCCAAATGCATATTTACAACAGGCAATTAGTGAATTAAAAATATCTGGAGGAGAATTAAAAAAATTTGTTGATACAAGATAGACTTCTGCATATGAATGTGTATTATCTGTTAGTCGACTTGAACGTGCATTCATAAAAGTAAGATTCTAAATTTGATTAATGTTTTATTAATTAGACAAATTGTTTATTAAATATTTATACAGATTATAAATAAAAATCTGGATTTAATTACTAATCATGTTGTAAAACAAATTTTGAAAAAGGCATTTTTTTTTGTGGATATTAAAATTTTAGTTAATGTTTTGGCTCCTATTCGAGCAATGATTTTAAATTTAGAAGCTCAATCAACAATCTTAGCTGATTGTTTTTTACAGTTTATCCGGTTAGCAGCAGCTATTAAAAAATTTCAAATCTCCGTATTAATTCATTCAAGAATTATTGCATACATGTTATTAATAATAGATGGAAGAATTTTGATAGTGAGAATTATTTATTAGCATATTTTTTGCATCCAGGATATCGTGGTATAGTATAATTTAAAAATTTAAATAAATAATAAGTTAAATAATTAAATATTAATATATATTTATAAGGTATTGGATTATGAGAACAATAATTTGAAACAATTGCAAAAACAGTAATTAAAATATGGAAAGAAGAACAACATGAGGTATATGAATGCACAAACCTTGTAGCATATATGCGACAATTTCAAAAAAACAAAGAGGGAAATGGATTTGATCTACCTTACTGTTTTGAAACTGATACACCTCTTTTATGGTGGACAACAACTTCTACTGGTTCTAAAACAATTGGACAACTTGCAAAGAAAATTTTTTCAATTGTTCTCCATTCTGCTGATTGTGAAAGGACTTTTTCAACATTGGGTTGGCTATATGGAAAACGTAGACAAAGGCTTTTTCTTTTCCGAATTCAAGCCATGGCACAAATTCGGTCTTTTTGTATCTCAAATATAAAAAAAGAATTAGCTTTTTTTGGGAAAAATTTATCAATTAATGAATTGCAAGAACAAATAACATCTGCAACATTTTTAGCTGATGAAGAAGAAGAAATTGAAGACCCTGAAACAGAAGAAGAAGTTGAGCATAATTTGAATATTATTGAACAATTTGATATTGAAAATCTTGTATTTTTGAATGATGAGATTTTTCAAGATAATGAATTAGATAGTGATAATGAAAACTCACAAATTGATTATGCTGAAGAATTTGATAAAGTTGAGTATAATGAATTAATAACTAGTAATACAGTAGGACAGGGTGTTTTTGATTTGAATCCTTCAGAATTAGCAGCAGATCTAGTAAAAGAGTGGAATTATGAAAATTATATAAATAGTGGTGCAGATAATATAGATGAAGATATTGGTGAAGACTTAAATTATACAGAGGGTGAAAATAGTACATCACAAAATCTGCCCATAGTACTTTGAAAAATGTGTCGCCAAAAAAAGTAAAAATAAATCTTTTATAACCCAATTTTCATTTTTATAATTATAATGATTTATTGATTCTTACTTTTCCGAAATACTATTTTCATGATTCCATAATTTTGATAGATATTTCTTTTTCCTAAAAAACATATTTCTGCAGTATATTCTAATGAAAATTTTTTTCCTGACTTTTTTTACCAACAAACACAATTTTTCTGAGGCCTTTTTACTAACAAATACTTTGATATATTTCCAGTTCTTCGAAATAGACATTTCTCAAAAAGAAACTTCCAATAAGATGTCTTCTTGATTGAGCAAATTTGCATAAATTAGGCCAACTCAGCACAAACTAGACAAGCTTTATCGGTGAAATGGCTGTCAGTAAAATGGTTGTCGGCAAATTAGTTTATACCATTTTTTTGATTATCAGATAGCACAGAATTTGTAAAAATAGCTATAAATTCTAAAACATTCTTTTAGACTATTTTCGGGGATAACTAAAGTATTAATTGTTTGGCTGTTAGAGTGTTTTTTTTCAAAATAGGTCTCATTAGGAGAATGAAATTTTAAGGATAATTCTTGGTCTTTTTTTATACAATTAGCAATTAGAGAATAAAGTTTTTTGACTTTTTTGATTTCTAAGTTAATTTCAGTAATGTTAAAGTTTTGGATTTTGTTCTGAATAAAATAAGTTTGTGAAAGTTTTACTCAAATGCTTTCTGAGCCTTTTCAGGTAATCCTTCAGTAAAAGTACATTCAGTAATATATTTCCAAAGAAATAGAATGTTAGAAAATGTACCATTCGGATGAATGGTATGTCATTAAAATAGGCTTTCATCTTCGTTGAAATGGAAATTGCAGGTCATTAAAATTTATTATTAATTAAATGCTATTTCGGTAAAATGAGACTTTGGAATTATGTCTTGTTAGTAATATGTCATAGGCAGATATTCGTATGATTGGATGTTTAAATCAATTTAATTTTGCATTATTTATACAATTTAAAGTACTTTTTAAAAAAAGAAAACTACTACGAATAAACAAAAAAGAAATATATTGAAAGTTTTATTAGAGCTGTAGAACTCCACTATTAAAAATAATCAAAATTCTTTTTTGTTTTAGAGAAGTTAGCATAATAGCGACTTCTTAAAATTAGGT